AAGGCACTCAAATCGCCTGTTTGGAATTTTCTCTAAACTTGTACTAACAGATTTCAATACTTCGGTATCGAGTGTCTCAGGTCCCAACTTAAATCCATGGTTACTACTAGTAATTTTTGTTTATCGATAAATACCTGTTCTGTCCCCACCTCCTGGAATTTCAGTTTGTTCTCACATCCTTCTTCCAAGCCTTCGTTCCTTCGTTGATCCTACAGTAATTGAGTACTACTCTCTTGTGTCTCGCTCTTTCTCCTTTCTTCATTGCATCTCTCTTTCCACTCTTTCCGACGTGGTTCTTGTTTGGTCAAGATCCAATAAATCTAATCGGGACCCGACCCCACCGTGTTTCACACCGCATAATCTACAGTACCCCTAAAAAGCGCTGTGATCGATTAGCTCCATCGATCATCCAGACTTAAATTCACGGCTCACTCATTTGACTGATTATCATTTGAACCACTATCTACAAATAACAATGACCAACATTACCACCACCACTATTGCCCCTGTCGCAGTCCCCATCAAACCCACCATGAACTCCCAACCCGAGGACGCCCCTCTCTTCTCGACCTCCTTGATCTCTCCTGAAGTGGTCGCTGTTCTTCCAGAGGGATACACTATCCGTCCCGTTCGCCGTTCCGACTACAAGCGTGGTTTCCTTGATGTCCTCCGTGTGTTGACCACCGTCGGCGACATCACTGAGGAGCAATGGAGCCAGCGGTTTGACTGGATCTCTGCCCGTAATGACGAGTATTACCTGCTTGTCATTTGCGATAACATGGACCGTGTTGTCGGTACCGGCAGTTTGCTTGTTGAGCGGAAGTTCATCCACTCTCTTGGCATGGTTGGGCACATCGAAGATATTGCCGTTGATCAGTCGCAGCAGGGAAAGAAGTTGGGCTTGAGGCTCATCCAGGCTTTGGACTACGTGGCTGCTAATGTCGGTTGCTACAAGGTATGCTTCAATTGAGCCCCCCCCTTTTTTTTCCCCCTAGGATGTCCCCGTTGCTAATCTGTCCTTATAGAGCATCCTTGATTGCTCCGAACACAACGAGGGCTTCTACCTCAAGTGTGGCTTTAAGCGTGCCGGCCTGGAAATGGCCCACTACTACTAGAATTAAGTTTTGCGGTTAAGGGACTGAAACAAACTGGCGTTGAGATAAATGGGTTGGGATTTGCCTGTGAGAATCCTTCATAATTCCTGAGGGATGTTCTCAAGAATTCTTGTTCGGGTTTACAAAGCCTGGTGTTCGGGACACGGTTGCTTGGCGAATTGGCTCGCCTATTCTTAGACCTCTTGCGGGACTCAAGTCGAGGATACTCAAGGAAGGATTAGAGGAGCGGACATTCTTGACGGTACGTGGCACGAGTGGCTCTCGACCTGTCGACTTCGTCTTGATGACACAGTTTCGAGAGATGGACATGTTCAGATGGTGATTTTATACTTTTGTCGAAGTGATTGCCTAGGGGTAGTCGCCTGCATGTTCACTTGGATAGAGCTAGGATGCCTTGTTACTGCCATCCATTTTATAGACAACATAATAGAGGATCATAATAATGCTATAATGTCGATATTGCAAAACGCCTATAGCCACTTCGTGGCGAAGGTAGTCTTATGATATCTATAACTTCGTCGCACTTGAAGAACAGTGGTGCAACGCCAAGGGAGGACTTGCACCAGATAAGATAAGAGTTCGTACGAATGGGAACATGTTGAGAACAATCTAAATCCAATTATGACATTATGTCACATCGTAAACTAAAAAACCCGTACAGGAATCTACAGGCCCAGAGCGACAAAAACGGCTATCATGTCACATCCATTTTTCCATTTCCTGGTAAATACCATGGCGCATAATGACAGAGCCTATCTGAGAGCCGTGCGGGAATCTCGTCCGCAAGAAACCATCGCACATACGCCGATTTATTGCATAAAATTTTGTGAAGGAGACACAAATTCCAGCTCCGGAAACCTCCTGAATTCCTTCATACTCCCCAGCCCAAGCCAAACCGCTTCTATTCCGTTTAACGAGACTTGGCGGCAACCTTGGGGGCAGAGCCCTTAGCACCCTGCTTGCTCTGGATGCGCTGGGCGGTACCCTTGCCGGCGGCGGCGTTCTTGGCCTTCTCGGCCTTCTTAGCCTTCTCGGAAGCGGCCTTCTTCTCCTTGGCCTCCTTGATGGCCTGCTGGCGAGCAGCAGCACGGGCCTCAGGGCGCTGGTTGCGGCGCTCCTTGATCACGTCGAGGGAAGCACCAACGATAGCACGCTGGGACTTGACGGCACGGCGGGTACGCTTCTTAGCGACTTCCTGTATGCATTGAAAAATATCCCGTCAGCATTTCTGGTCCTGTCCCAACGCTTCGTCACTTGCAGATATATCCCAGCTCCTTTCCGATGTTTCGGTATAGTGGCTAGTCGACATGTCCATGTTCCATCACCGGACCCAACTCACGTCCCGACATGTCGGACCATTCCGGAAAACCAAAAAATAACTTCAACCATGGGGAAAACTTGGCGGTACTGACTTCAGAGATACCCTTTCTGTGCTGGCGACGGTAGAGGACAGTCCAGGAGATGCGGCGGGGGTTCTTGCGCTGGAGGAAGAGGGACTCGGACTTTCCATTCTGGAAGCGGAAGATCTTGCTGTCGCCACGGACGTACAGCTTACCCTATAATAGTATAAATGTCAACGAATATATCCTGATAAATTTCGTCTATTTTTTGTGCTTCATTTTCTTTATTTTTTTTTTGCATTGGTGGATTGGCTGGCTCGGGGTAGCCTGGGCGAGTGTTTCGTATATTCGGCATGGAAGAGAGGGTCTCTCTTGCGGAAGTGGACAAAACGCACCTTTCCAGGGTAGATCTTCTGACCGCTGAAAGAATCGTCGTAGGTACGCATCTTGAACGTCGGAGATGCGCAACGAGATGTTGTCGGTTGGCGTTGGGTGGTTGAATCGTATCGGTCGCTGCGGCGAGCTGTTCGCGAGACGCTGACACAATTGTGGTGCGGTGCGGAGCCTCGCTAAAGTGCGACACGTGACCTCGTCTGCCCTTCCCCGTTCGCAACTTCAACTTCTATGAGACATCTGGGGTGACTATAGTTATTTGGAGATAATTGTTGTTTATGATATATTGGTTTGGGTCTTGATGCTACTGGGATTAACTTATCATAGTTTTACGATTGGTTCTCTTGTTGGCATCATGAATTGTTCGATTAAAGGTCCCCTCGCCCATAGAGATTCGGCTTCAATACATGTGAAATATGACCAGATATCTCAGCATAAATCAAAGTCCGCTCGCTCTTTAAAACTCATCTAAGTTCTCAGCAATACTCAACGAGACAAAAGGCTTTTCCAGTGTGCCTTCCGTAGCCAAGCTGGTTCACTACAATATCAATCGTGCCAATCGCAGAGTTCCCAAGGATTTGTCTTGCATTCCTATAGCAAGTATAACGTTAACCGCCATACAAGTACTCGTAAGTGACTTAGAAAGTGGACAAAACAGAAGGAATATTACCGTGCATTGAATATCACCACATATCTCACTTGGGCATCTACCACAACAGTTTGGACATACACGTCTGCCGCAGCCTCCGGGTTCGCTACATAGGGAAAAGGTACTCATGTCTTTGACATGCGAACCCAGCCCCTCAATCATCTGCAACATATGTCTTGCATTGTTGGTTTTCTCGGGCTTAGTTTCCGGATCGGCAATTGTCTGCTGAACTTCTGCATATCTGCAGCATGCTACGCTACAGATTGGACAGTTACCACGACAAGTAGTGCACCTCAGGTTCACAGTATTCCATTGTCGGCTATCATCCACTCGGCGTGGAGACTTGGAATCAGTCGGAGATACCGTTCTCACTTCGGTTCCAGTGAGGCCACGGATATGTGCGATCTGATAATGTTAATAACTTTCTCAGCTTCGTTCTCACTGAGATCTACTTACCTGTTTTTGGAGGCCCTTTTTGGTATCATGCCCCCCTGTCTCTGGAGACTTCTTTCCTGGAGGGCTCACTTCTGGTGCTTGCTGCTTCATATCCTCCATCGCAGATAGCGAGCCGTCTTGAATGACCTTGTTCGACGTATCTGTCTCCAAGAAGTCCAGATCCAGAAAGATATAATCTGTTCAGATATCAGAGTCAGAAACCAATCAATCACTGGCATAAAGCCACAGGCCATACGATAAATAACTGAACAGGCATACCGTTAGCCGACCTGACGTACTTCAGAAACTTGGGGGTAGGAGGAGTAGTCGGCGACTTCTTTGTCGGGATGTGAATACTCCCATGTGTGCCTGTTGTGTTGCTATCCGTCAAACTAGCAGCACCGGAACCAGAGTGTTCCGAGCGAGTTGCTTTATCCTGAGAGTGAATTTGGCAGTTGTGCCTATCGGAGTCGCCGCCGGACAGTTTCAAGGGGTTGCCAGTGAAGGTCATTTTCAACCGTCTTTTGAGAGAGCCTACTCTCGGTGGTTCCTCATTGCTGTTGGTATTGGGTTCAACCTGCTTCACTGTCGTTTCTGCGTTAGTATCTTCATTTTTGGCAAGTAGTGGCTGGTCAAGGGTATCGTCTTCGATTCGAAGGGCAGTTTCGATTTGGGTAATGAACTCTTTTGGGACTCTGTCTGGGTTCATTTCAGTGATTGTTTCGTTCGAAGCTGTGATGCAGATACTGAGATGTTTCAGCCACGTACTGGAAGGAAAATTGAATGGGCTCATGCTACTTGTCCTTGTTGTTGTTGGTATGATCTTTCTTGACTTTGTTCTTGCCTTTACCCTTCGATTTGCCTTTGGCCTTGCTTTTCATGATGTCTGATATACCGCTTGCTGCTTGGGAGGTCGCGTGTGTTCGGCTTCTATTTGTTTATAGGGGATGAGAGTGGGAGGGAGTAAAACTATAGTAGGTATGATGACCTGAAAGTATGGTACTGTTTATGTTCGTGGGCTGTATTCGCTTTTACGTAGATGGGGGTAGTAGTGAATGATGTGAGAGCGCATCATATGCTGTGGCTGCTTGAAGATCTCTCGCTCGGAAGTTACCTTAATACCTTACGCTTATACTAATGCTGTCTGGAAAAATTTAGTTTCCTTCACTGTAGACCTTTTCTTTTACCCGTTGGAATACACGTATCAGGTGAAAAAAATGCAAAAGCATCTTTTCTATGGCCAATCACACCTATACTGCGACCATCTACTGGTTCTGAACCAGGTAGCATCGTGCTTACTGACGTTGATAGAGTACCAATTGTCTATTTTCAAGAACAAGACAAATCTATGATGCAAGTGTATAAGGTGGTAATTTGTAATATAAATTTCTAGAGAAATGAAATCGTTCTATCAAGGTGCAGCTCTGATCTGATTGCAAAAGCAAATGTGAAAACTGTATACGAGGGTTTGCAGCATCGACTGCTTCGTCGTATAGGAGCACAAAAGGGGCCATGAGCCAGAGCTGAGATCTATCATTGATGTATTGGAAGGACGCATGATAGCAGGGTCTCTCTTTCAAAGAACTGACATAAGATCTCTCAGGGGGGCATGAGACTGATCCAAAAGATAATTGCCGGTAGGGCCTAGGCTCGCAGTGTAACTTTTGTTTCATGGTCACATCACAACGTATTGGTTCATATTCCGTCATAGTGGATTTTGTTGAGTCACTCCTCAATAATCTAAGTCATGGCATGTGTTCTGGTCCATTCCCTAGCGGTCTGTATCGCGGCAGGCTCATCCTCCTTCCAACGCTGAGCGACGTCATTTGCGAGCGGGTCATCTGGGTTCGGAGCTCCAAGCAAGGCTTGGATAGAGAGCAGAATCGTACGGATTTGAAGCGCAGGGGACCAGTTGTCTAACATGCATTAGCCCATTGACCTCGTTTGGGGGAGATCCCTGCAAAATGCTTACTCTTCAAGACATCCAAGCAGATACGTCCGAGACGGTCGATGTTGGGGTGGTAGATCTTGGTCAAGAATCGAATCTTGGGAGGAGTCATAGGGTAGTCTTCGGGCAAGAACAATTCAAGACGGAAGATACCACCTTTGTTGGCAATTAGCAACCACCTTATTGCTTTCCTCTCGATATGAGAGCATGTGCACTATACCTTCATATGGAGATTGGGCCGGTCCATGGATCGAGACATCGAAATAACGCAGGTTGTCTTCATGAGGCACAGCATTGATACCGGGGACCCTAAGAGAGTCAAAGGATCAATGAAAGTTCTTTATTTCCACTATGAGTAATTACTTACGGCTCCGCCATAAGGCGCTCAGTCTCCTTCACTATTCTTTTCGGCAACGCCATTTTGAACCACCAGAACTAAACGATAAATGTCCCCGCGTATAATCCAAGGTGGGGCTTAAGAGGTCTGTTTTTAAATTTCCTTTTTATTCCTGCGCACCGGCTGTAACCAGTGAGTGTAAGTGCTTCCCAAGATGGATGCAAATTCCAACACGGAGAAAACGATGCAAGGTTGGGGCCAGGATCCGCAAGGAACCGTTTAGTCTCAGCCGGAAGATCCTATGTGATGAAGGTTACCAAGCCATCAGCAAATGCATCGGGCAGAGGGGTACTCAATCTCACCGCCTTCTGTATTCACTTCGACATGGGAGCGCATACGCGCCATAAGCGCAACCTGCTATCCTAAGCCCGATAGGGATGCCTCGAGGTTCGCCCGTCTCCACACCACCTCAAGTTGCGGAGATGTTATAGCTACCAGAATCAAGTCATTGAAGGTGGCTCAAGCTTTGTTATATGTGTGAGTGTGCACATGTACTAAATTTTGGCGCTGGGACTATCACGCTACCTTATCAATTTAACTTACAATGGATCCTTAAAGACAACTACTAGTGCTGTATCATTGCGCAATGTGTGACAATTCCTTCGCTGCCCTCACTTCGTACAATTGACGAGACTATTCCGAATCCATCGAAATGAAAGGACTTCTTAGTGTCGTACAACCCTTTCCATTAATGATTTGTAGGAAGACCTGAATCCCGATACATCACCAAGGTACTCCTCGGAAGGTGTCGGTAAATACTCTCAAAGGGAGCAGCAAATTGAGCACCGGGGGCTCATCAACTACACAATGGTCGATCCCAGTGAGCCTAAGCCGCTCACCTCGGCATTCGAAAGTCCGACGTTTGGAGAGGATAGTTCTTTCCATGTGGAGCAGCCCGTGGGTTCCATGTCAATATCGCCATGTGGACGAGATGTAGTTCTGGCTTCAAAGGAGGGTCTTCATGTCATCGATTTGGATTCGCCGTATTCGCCGCCTCGATATCTTCCTCATCATACACCATGGGAGGTCGCGGATGTTCAGTGGTCACCGTTCGCTGCTCGAGATTATTGGGTCGTGAGCACATCGAACCAGAAGGCATTGGTGTGGAACTTGGCAACGAAGTCCTGCCAGAACTCGATTGAACATGTTCTGCATGCTCACACTCGCGCAATAACGGATATTAACTTCTCCGCTCATCACCCCGACACCTTAGCAACCTGTGCTGTGGACAGTTTTGTCCATTGCTGGGATTTGCGATCCCCTTCTCGACCTGCCATCTCGTTCTCAGATTGGTTTGCCGGTGCAACTCAAGTTAAATGGAACAGACAGGATCCAAACGTCATCGCCAGCTCCCATGATAGATTTCTAAGGATATGGGACAAGAGAAAAGGTGCTTATCCAATTCGGTCCATCGAGGCTCACGATACCAAGATCTATGGCGTTGATTGGAATAGAGTTCGCCCAGGAGCGGTGACAACCTGCGCTTTAGATAAGACGATCAAGTTTTGGGATTATACTGTCGAAGGTGAAGAGCCGGAAAAGATCATTAGAACGCCTTTTCCGGTTTGGCGCGCTAGGAACACCCCATTTGGATGGGGTGTTTTAGCAATGCCGCAGAGAGGCAATAGCGATCTTCATCTATATAGTCGCCGAGCTGGGGAAGGTGAGGATCCCGACAAAGACCTTCCTCTCGTGCACAGTTTCCCAGGGCATAAGGGTCAGGTTAAGGAATTCCTTTGGAGAGCGCGCGGAGGCGTGGTCGATGGAACTGACCACAGGGATTTCCAGCTAGTATCGTGGGGGACTGACAGGGAACTTCGTCTGCATAGAGCTGATCCAGATGTCATGCGTGGCGTCGGCTACGAAAAGGGAAAGTCATTTATATCCAACATAAACATCACCCGCAATGGCGCCGTCTACAAGAGCTTCCGTGATGAAGATGGTAGTCGAGGTCATGATGATACAGATTCTCTATCCGCATTCCAGGAGTCTGTCTCCAGCTCATCCCGTGCCTTAGGATTGAACACCATATCAGTGCCATACGCTCGGCCGTGGACTCAGGGTGGTAACACGGATTCCAGAATCGGTATGCAAGGCAGAAGTAATCTCCGGACCGATACGAATCCCATATCCTGGATGCGAGGCGTGAAAATATCGGGTTGGGATGTCGAAACTCTAGGTGACGAAATTACGCATGTGGGAGAGAAGTTCACTAAGGTCGATTTTGACTCCGTGGACGTTAGACAGCGGAAGGCAACTATATCTTTGCATGGACCTTGGGGGACGGAAGGTGACTCGCTTTTCTTGAAAGTGGACATAAAGTTCCCTGCCGACTACCCAAGAACTGCAATGCCAACGTTCAGTGTGCAGAAGACATCGGCTGTCACAGATGAACTTGCCGACAAGCTTGTTGCGGAATTGCGTACCATTGCAGAAACTTTCCTCTCTCATAAAAGAGGCTGCCTTGAAGGTGTTGTTCGCTATTTGTTAGGTGAAACCAGTCTGGAAGAAAGCATAGCCTGGATTTTGGGCGAAACAACCGAGACCGTCAAATCGCCCATGAGTGGCCAGTTAGAGACGGGAGAGTCAAGCGACGAAGATGAAGTAGGATTGTCTCAGAGTCAAGAGCTGGGGATGAGTTCTGAGCTGCTACGACCAGTCAATGCCAATGTAATGGTACCTGTGGCTAAGGCATGTGGTGCTCTTTGGGCCAATGATGGTCGCTTAGTCTGCTTTTTCCCTACTAAAAAGGACAAGTCGGCGTCTCTGTTGGAGAACCTAGGTTTCAAGGAAATGACGAGGCTTTCAAGGGCAGACAAAGTTTTTGAGGGATTCGGCCGTCTGCAAACTAGTTCGCCCGGGCCACGGGCTTCGGGTACGATGGCCAGCACCGATGATGGTACATCCGATTACTCTGATGACTCGGACGCGGAGACCTCCAGCTCTTCTGGATCTTCTGGTATCCTATCGACCTTGCAACACCGATTTCCAACACCGCAAACATGGCGCAGTGCTGGCAGTCTTGGACTCTATAAGCCGCGGTCCACAGACAATTCTCAGAGGTCAACTGTTGGTATGATGACATCTAAAGTGTCTGAAAACCCGCAGAACATTGTATCTATTCATGACTTTACAGACTTGCTGCCAGCAAAACGCGAACTGGCAAACAAATACCGCATCTGTGGTAAAGGTACCGATGTATGTGCTCACAATGCTGCGGTTGCTCTCGATCATGGCTTCTATGAGCTAGCTCGGATATGGGGCCTCGTCAAACTGGTCTTGCACAATAATAAAAAGTCTGCCCCGACATCTGGCCTGGGCACGGGTGAAAGACCCCGGCATATGCAGAGAAAAGACAGTGCCGTGGATCTGAGTTATGATCTGGGAAATCAAGATCAGCATCCAAAAGATGCTGCCAATAGTCTGATACAATGGGGAGACCATCCCTTCGGTGGACAATGGCTTGTTCCTGCCCTCTTCGAACATTTTGAACGGGTCGGTGACGTACAGATGGTTGCAATGCTCAGTTGTGTTCTGCATGAATCAGATCATGAGAAGTACTCGCCGAGCGAGGAGTACCGTCCCAGCAAACCAGTATCAAAGAAGGTAGACGACCAGCCCTTATCGTTAAGTAACTACGCTACCCATGCAGCCTCGCATAGTAAATTTCACACCACAACTCCACTGGGATCTACGCCGAAAGACAGCCATGCTACACCCATCACTCAGAGCTCTGGACGATCGTCTTCTGAAATTTGGCGTCCTGACTCAACTCCTCCTTATTCCACAGGCACAACTCCTCCTTTAGCATCGCGTACTGCAGGATTTACAGCAGAGAGGAAGGCTATGAGCCATACTGCCTCCATAGCTGCCTCACCTGACCAACAATCTCAGCCGCGTAGTGCATCAGGCCTTGGTTCTGTTCTTGCTTCTTCCCTTTCCCGATCTTTCACTTTTGGCCCCTCATCAGCCTCACCACCAGCCAGTGCGTTGTCCCGAAAAAAGCAAAGCCCCGGCGGCAGCCCGAACACGACTGGGGGGATATGGCCTACGAGTACTTTAATATCCAAACCTGTGTCAGCAGTTCCTGACTACCTCACCACATCCACTGCTCCTACCTCTCAGACACATTCTGATACCGAGAGTGAAAGACCGGAAAAGGCACAAGCATCGAGGTCACGAGCGAAGCCACGGGTGACGTTGAAAAACCGCAACGCTTTTGAGGGTGACGGCGTCACACAAAATACATTCATTGAAAGCAAGAAGGACGGATTGTATCGGTCGTACCGAGAGGCATACGCCCATTTACTATCAATCTGGGGCCTACCTATACAGCGCAGTGAAGTCTTGAAAGTTGGGGGAGCCAACAACCACTCTAGCGATACGGACTTCCGTCAATGGGGTTACAGCAGTCCGAGGTCATCGCTTTCACTTCCGACCCTCAGACATAGAGGTTCGGTGAATTCGACCCTGGAATCAGGTAACCAAGGACTGGAAATTCAACGACACTGCATTCGGTGTGGCCGCCCCCTGCAAATGTCAATATTCACTAGTGAACCCGTGACGGAGATGGCAGCCAAAACCCAGATAAAGGGAGATTCTAAACCCACGATCTGCCCAGGTTGCAATCCGAAACAACCTCTCCCCCTCAAACTCCCTTGCGTTATATGCGGGGAAGTGGTTGACGGAATGCTCACACCTTGTCTCAATTGCGGCCACGTCAGTTGCTTTGACTGCCATCAGGGCTGGTTCTCTGGGTTATCACCTGAGCTACAAGATGGCACGGCCAACTGCGCTATAGATATGCACGACAGTGACCAGGAATACCAGTACTGTCCCACCGGCTGTGGCTGCAAATGCTCGGAGCACATCGTTGCAGACATTCCGAGGCCGTGGAGCCCATCCTCGCCGACACCAGATGGCGAGACTAGTCCTTTGACCCTATCGCGGAAACAACCAGATATTATAACCAACGTTGGCCAGCACGAAGATGATCTCGATCAATGGCATACATCACCATTTGCCTCCCTTGCTCGGGGCCTGGGGGGTGGATTGAGTAGGGGTCTACGCCCCAAAGAGGATAGACGAAAATCCAAGTCATCTATTTCTGGATTTGTACCAAAACGAACTGCCATGAATCAAGTGGAAAGTACATGGCAGTAATTTGTATGGTTTGAGCGTTTGAGCTTTTTGGGAGCGAATTACCTATACCCCTATGTTGTG